TAATTAAAATATATAAATAAAAAAATAAAATAAAAAATAAATAAACATTAATGGACAGAAAAAAGTAGCTCTTTATATTTTTTAGTAAAGTAACTTTTTGTCTTTCTGTAACGACTTTATTTCTCCCACAGCATCGATAACATGCACATCACTGCCAGTGGCAGATTGTGCAAATTAGGCGATGACGTCATTTAGCAACTTCTAGCGACTTTTAGCACAGCCAATAGCTACTTTCCTTACTGAGGAGTTGGCAACACTGGAAATAATCTTTGAAGGCAGGATGGTAATCTGGATGAACTGACTGCACAGACCATGTTTTCAGGAGGACTTTCTCACTTCAACATAGATTCTAACTACTTTCTACCCGCTGATCACAGCTAATATAGCAAAGCTGCTCTCTGGCATCGAACACAGGAGCAGCAGAAGCATCTGGACTCACTTTACTAGACGTCTGACCTTAATGAGGACAAGCAGCAGAAGTGAAGCAGCAGAAGCTTTTTTACTGCTCAAAGCATGTTTGATGTGAAAGTAGCTTAACAGTTATTGTGCTGATCATAAGTCTAACGTGATTTTTTGTTTCCCAAAAGACAGAATCTGCATCAGGACTGCTAAACTGCATAAACATAAACCCACAAGCAACTACTATACAGCAGCTCTAAACAGCTGGATTTTCCTCCAGCAACTTCTTCCACCACCAGCTTGACCTAAAATATTACAAACTAATTCAGGCCCCTAATAAATGTAAACATCATCACTGTGTTACACCGGGAGTCTGTAAAAGATCAGTTAATGTCCAGCCTGGTTTTTATAAACAAGCTCAAATATTTCACTTCAGTTTTGTGTTTTTATTTTGGTTTAGCTGAAAGAGGAAAGTCTTCCTGCAGCATTAACTCCCACAGACCTATCCACCGATATTTTCCCAGTCTTTCTGACAGTCCTCAGACTCTTTCTCCATGTCCATCATTGTGCTGATGTTTCCTTTGATGTTAAAACTGCTGCAGAAGTTGTTTGGTCCTAGCTGTAGATGCAAACAACGTAGCTGCGTCCGTTTTAGTTTTGATAAAAGGCTTTGCAGGTGGTAAGTTTTTACATTTTGGTTTGATTATTAGAATATGATGAAAGGTTTGTTTCTGCTGTTCCACTCATTATAAAAAAGACATTACATTTACACCTGCTTTGTGGACCAGCTTGCTAAAAAGTTTGTATGCACGTTAATCTAAAAAAACTTTTGAAGATCCGGCCCTGAGGGATTTAGTTTGCCATTCCCTTGTAATATTTTTCATAAAGCTTTACCTTTTTATTGCATCATTAAAATCAAACTTCATTATTCATTGAGATTTTATGTGTTAAAGAAACACAAACAAACGGAGACAGAGAGGGAATGCGACACTTATACTTCTTTCCCAGTAGTCGTAAAACCTGTTTAAACCTGCGAACGATGGGCTTTTAGTGGCAGTGGGAACAGCTCGCTGACGGATGTCAACCCGGGTCAAACGGCTCGGCAACAACCCGCGTTAAAATCTCCCCGACTGTGGGAACACCAGAGCCGGTAAATTACGTGATGCCATTGAACGCAGCGTACGGACGTCAACACACCGCCAGTCGCTTCTGATCTAACAAGCAGAATGAACTCTGTTTCCATTGGATAAACGTGGAGCAGCAGGTGAGAGGGATCCATTGTTTACTTTCCTGATTTCTGTCGCACTGGTGACATCATCAACGCTAACCCAGCGTGATGATGTCCAGACACACAGCTGTTGGGGGGTCAGAGGCCACACACTTGC